GGGTGATCCAAGTGCCACCCCGCTCTATAGGGCCGTAGGCCTTGCTGGTGATCTCCGCATCTCCCCTTCTGCAGCGAAGTGCTGGCCCGTTCCGCGGGGCTGCTGGGGGCAGACGTTAATGGGGGGGGGAGATAAGGAGGCCCCCGCTGGGTGTGGTTACAGAAGAGACTACCTGGAGTTATTCCTACCGGGAATCCTCTCCGGTTCCCCCCCCAGGCCCACCCGTGTCCTATCATCCTTTCAACAGCCCACATCCTGCCCCAACCAGGGAACAAGCCACTCCTCTCTGCCCCCCTGCAACAAGTCATGGGGCGCACACTCACCCCCACGGCGCCGCCTGCTGGTCATTCAGGGAAGCAGTGCTGCCTCAGAGAGCCCTCTGCTGGTTGGTGTCTGCTGGTCCGGCCACGTCCCTTCCTGGCCACAGCATCCTTCCTCCTCGAACTGTCCTCGGTCCGTGCCCCTTCGCTCCGGGGTCTGCCCCTCACAGAGAACCCCCAATTCCCCGACGCCCACCTTGCCTCCGTGACCCAGGGACTGTCCTCATACAGCCTCTGCCTCAGGGGGAAACTGCAGCCTGACATGGCCCAGCATTGGCAAGATGGGGAGTGGACCTGCTGCCTTCTGCCCTGGCTGCCTCCCTGCTCCTGCAGGCCTTGCCCGAGGCCCTGCAGCCTTGGAGTGAGCTCTAGCTAGAGGTCCCCAGTCTTGCCTGCCTCTCTACCCTGCTCTGTCTCAGGAAGCCTCCAGCTTCCTTGGCAGCCAGGCTCCTCCTGCTTCCCAGCTCCAGCAAACAGATGTCTGTTCTCCCCTCCAAGAGCCCTGGCTGGGCCCTAATTGGCTGTATTGGCCTCAGCTGCAGGCTATTCTCTCTCAGCCCTCACCCAGGGCTGGGTTTTACCCTTAAAGGGCCAGCCGCCCCATCCCACAAGAGTTCAGCTGGGACATCTTCGCACTTCCCCAACTCTGGGCTTCCTCCAAGGAGCCCTTGTCTTGCTCTCCTGTCTTTCCTCTTGAAACGTAGAGGCCGCCTCCGCCCCCAAGGAAGCCCTGGCCAGCAAGGACCCACGACCGCAGCTGACCCTAACCCACCCACACGTCTCTCCAGACCAGCCGTCAGCTGGGGCCAGGCGGCATGTGGGGCAGAGAACCCGCCCCGCGATGGAGGCAGAAGACACATGGGTCAACAGGGCTGCAAGATTTATTTTGAAAAGTGATCAATCTGCTCCAGAAAGCGCCCATCCCTCGCACGGCTCGTCCCGCAGCCTGGCACAAGCAGGGCCCTGCGGCCAGGCAAGGTGGACAGCAGAGAGAGATGGGTAGAGCCAACACTGAACTAGTGGAGTCCTTTTCAAGGAAGAAGGCAAGGAAGAGTTGGAACCACCTAGGGCTACAGAGCCAGACACTTACTTAGCAAAGCCAATTTCGGCCCTTCCCTCCCATTCTGAGTGCTGCAACGTCATTGGTCAGAGCAGAGGGGGAGCCGGCTGGAGAGAGTTTTATTAGAGGATGCACCTACCTGTCCCCTTTGCTGGACCATACCAAGTAGTAAGAAAGAAGAGGCAGGGAACAGCACATTACTTCACTGCAAAAACCAACTCAGGGTCCCAGTGCCAACTCCTCTGCCCCAGGGGTTTAAACAAGAGTGAACGTCACAGCAGTTCAGGGCCGAAACCCACAAGGGATTGTAAAACTGGATTTAAAAGTTTGCCTGGAAAAGGCAAATCCGGGGGAGGACACGGGTTTGTCTTTTTTTAGGTTGAAGTTCTAGGAGGCGGGTTTTGAACCCAACGATGGCTGTTTTTTAAAATCTCAATCCACGACAAAGCAATATGCACTTCTGCTTTTTCCACCCCCCACTGTAAACCCCAAGAGGCTCCATAAACATGAAGGCCCGTCACCCCAGCCTCCTTGGCGCAGAAGCTCTGTTAGCAGGGCCACTGAATCTTTAAACAGGGATACGCAATCCCAGGAAATACAGATAACGCAGTCCCAAACGAAACAACACCGCCTCTTGAAGAATTTGCACCCCAGACAGAGTGCAAAGGTGGCCATTCCTATCGATGAAGCCATTATGGAGGTAGCTGACAATTTGGCAGACACCAGCCACGGTGACCCCAACTTGTCGCAGAGCTGATAAACGGTATTTTGTTCCATCCAAGAACTTGGCATTGCTCTTCAACCATCCTCAGCCAAATTCCTTAGTGGTGGACGCGACCCAGCAGTGGGCCAAAGCACCACAATATAAGACTACACCGGATACTAAAAAATTGGACACATTTGGCAGAAAAGTTTACTCTTCAGCAACCCTTCTTTTACATATCTCTAATTATGCAGCGCTATTATCGAACCATAATTTTGACAACTATGAAAAAAATCTCAGCTGCTCCAATACCTCCCAGAGAGTAAGCGCCCCCCTCTTAAAATCCCTAGTGCAGGAGGGTTTTACGGCATTTGCGGCTTTGCTCCGCCGGGACTTAAAACTGCCAGTTCAAACTCAAAACCAGAAAACAAACGTTTTAAAACACTGAATAAACCCCATGCCTCCTCTTGGGAGCTCAAGGTATGTTCCATCCTGCCCCATGATGATATCACAACTGCAGAAGTTCTCTAGTCTTCCTAGTCACAGGGTTATGGAGTGAAGTTATTCAGTATGAAGACTGGGAGGCGAGGGGAGGGTTGTGTAGTTCCCCACCCCCGTCACAACATAGACACCAAAAGAAAACCAACCTTTCGAGCCTTGTGTCTAGAGCAGAGAGGTCAAACCCAACCTTCCAGAGTGGAGAAGCGACTAGCACGTAGTACAGCAGAGCCGCAGCATCCTACACTTCACCCGCAGCAAACTGTGCCCCCGGCACCGCGCTCTCGCTGCTTCTCGGAGACCTCGCACGATCTCCGGTTACGAGGGGGCCTTGCACAGTACGCTCCAGCAGAGCGAAGGAGCAGTGAGCATGCTCGCCATGCTGGGTTCGTTTTGTGCGTTTCCTTAACTTTCCCCCTACTGCCCACTTGGGCTTCCTCGTGTAACTTAGCGAGGTACCACTGCGGATTTCGGGGGTGAGAACAGAAAAAAGCTTCACTTGTAACACACACAGAAAGGCCATCAAGACCCTGCCAAAGTCAACTGGCAGAGGGAGGGCTGAAGGGAGCAATGCACTACCCCCAAATCCATGGGAAACCCCTCTCACAGCAAACCCCAGGGACGATCCCAGCTGCCCTCATCCCTACGGTCAAATAAATAAATAAATTAACGCAGCGTTCTGTGCGGGAGGCTGTCTGGGACTGGCAGGCTCATGCCCGGTGGCTTGTCCTCAGAACAGCCAATCCGCTCCCAGTAGCTCAGTGTTTTAGTCACACGTACCTTGAAAATCATCCGGCCCCTTCCACATTCCTCCCCTTCCCTGTGGCCACAGAAATGCAGACGGGCCCAGCTCCTCCGCTGAGGACCACCCCAACGTACCTGGAAAGCATGGCCGCAGGGAGGGGGACGTCCGGGGAATGCCAGGCCAGAATCCGCTTCACGTTGGCTCCGGCCTGTCCCATTTGACCCTGGACCGAACCGGAGAGTTGCAAGTGATTCAGGATCTGGCTGCAGCCAGTTGGCAGGGCATGGGCTAGCCAGCTGGCAGGGACTGCGGCCAGACATCCTCAAGCATAGGCAGGCGCTTAGCTCCCCTTGAAAAGTAGTGGAACTAAGGCCTAGGGTCTTGGCCTGGCCTGCACCTGCACCAGCATCCTAGTGGTCTCATTCCTGAGCCCCCAGCTCTCCTCCTCCCAAGTTACAGCACCTCAGCGCTCTGCCCCCAGCCGCCTTTGCTGCAGCCACACACACAGTCTCCTTAGCCAAGGGGCTGGGACCCAGCTGGGGGAAACTGAGGCTCCAATCTCAGGGAACCCAACCTCCCACCTGCCTAAGGGCCCAGAGGGGGCGGGTGCCTGACCCGGGCATGGGGCTGCCACTCCCCCAGCTAGAGCATCCATTCGAGAGGTCTGTGCTCCCAGGGTGGGGCTAGCACCGGCTCCTCCACCCAGACCTGGGAAGCGGAAGAAATCGTTCTAGAGGGGCCTCAGCCACCAGACAGGACCTGGTGGACTCGGCTCTGACGGGCACCCGGCGGCGGCATCGCTGGCTCCCGCCTGCTACCGCGCAGCTGGGTTCACTCATCCCGCCAGGGGACCCCCGCTAAGGCACAGGCAGTGAGGAGAGGAACCCCAGACCCTCCTCGTCCCTGAATGGCTGCCCTTCCCACACCACCAGGCAGCGGGGCCCACCCTGAGCGCACAGATCCTGGTGTCCTGGCGAGCGGGGAGCCAGCAGTGCTCACGGCAGGGCCCCCGCTGGCTCCGGG